TGCCCAGGCGGGTCTCGAACCCGCAGGCTCAGGCAGTCCACTCGCCTCAGCCTCCCAAAGCATGGGATTACAGGCTGAGCCACCGAGCCCAGCTGGTAGTGGTGTTTTTTAAGACAGCAGGTAGAAATTAAAATGCATCCTGTGTCCCTGCAGATATGGGTCCTGTCCTAGCCAGGCCCCTGACTGTGATTCTCAGAATGCAGCCAACAAGGGCCCATGATTCTTGCTAACCCTCTGCAAACAACAATGAATAAGTAAATCACACCTGCCAAGGGCCAAACCACTATGTTAAACCTACACATTGCTTTTAAGGTGTTTGGGCTCATAGTGAGAGTTCAGGGAACCATGCCCACGAAACAGTAAGAAAGAGCAGGAATAACAAACAACTAAAAGACACAGAAAGTGATCCGACAAGTCATATGTAAGACTGATATGGAAAAACTAGAAAACCAAATGAAGGACACAAGAGACCTAAACATTCCAGGGTGAGATGGGAAAAAATAAACACTGCAAAGTATTCCCTCAAAAGCTATAAGATTTCCCCACATTTATTTGTAAGTTCAATAGAACTGCAACAAAAGCCAAGCAGCATGTTTTTAAAAATTAACTCAACTGGTTGATTTTAAACTTGGAAAAGGACATGCACAAAAATAACCAAGATAATTTTACAACAGAAAACTAACGGGGAAGTTCTGACTCTACCAGCTGGGTATAAAGATGTAGCAATAATAACACAGAAAACAGAATTGATACACATACTGATTTCAATTATGTTAACTGTAGTATTCCAAATCAGTGGAGAAAAAGTAACCTATTCATAAAACGATCCCTTACCCCTAATACTAACTATAGACATGCCAACTGGATTAAACACCTGGAAGTTAAAACAAACAAAACATAAATGTATTATCAGATTCTAACTACATTAGAAAATACTTAAGTGTATAAATTTATAGTATTGAGGCAGGAAGACATTTGCCAAGCAAAACACAAGCGCAAATAGCTGTTAAAGGAATAACAGATTTGACTAAAGAAACATTAAATATTTCTATATAAGCCTAAACCATGACTAACTTATATCAAGAATTTCAACTTATAAAAAAAGAAGAAAAACAGCCCAACAGAAAAATGAGCAGAAGAAATGATCAGACAGTTCATAGTAAAAATCTCCACAGCTGGTAAATATTCTCAATCTCACTAGTCATTAGAAAAATCCCAATTAAAAAAACAAAAATCAACAAACTTAAAGAAATGCAGACGGGTTCGGTAGCTCAGCCTGTAATCCTGCACCTTGGGAGGCTGAAGTGAGTGGATTGCCTGAGCTCGCGGGTTCGAGACTCGCCTGGGCAACTTGGGGAGACCTCATCTCTACAATAAATAAAAAAATCAGCCAGGCATGGTAGCGCATGCCTGTAATTCCAGCTACTTGGAAGACTGAGGTGGAAGGATCACCAGAGCCCA